GGTGGGGGCTGTGGTCTATTCCGAGGCTCGCGTTGTTGTTGCTGTTGCTTGTGCCTGGGTACTGCGGGGTTGATTCTGTCAAAGACGCTATTAGACCTCCTAGGTCTTTGTTTTGGCTCATATGTTGGTGGAAAGTTGTCCTGGTTATGCCGGGCCTCGGTGGGTCGGCCAGCAGTATAATTGGAGGAAACATCAACTTCTACTTCCCTCTCCATGGGGCTTCTACCTCGGCAGTATTCTGCTGGTACAGCCCTTTGACTTTAAACTTCATCATCTTGGTTGTAATATTCCTGGGGGCATAGTGAGGAATGGGGAAGCCTCCTTGGCTCTGCATTTGGGCCATAAGTTCTCTCATGGCCATGTTTTGACTAGCAATGTCCATCATGTTTGCGACCATGGTAGCCATTTCCCTTGACAATTGAGCGGCCATCCGCATGCCACCTCTTTTGTGGTGGTGGTGAGGTCGATGCCGAGCTGTAGGGGCAGCTGCCGTTGGGGACATTCCCACATTTTCTCTTACCTTCTTAGAGGATACATCCTCGTCTGAACTCATTCTCTTCTGTTCCGATCTCAGATTGTTGCTAAGTTGTGGGGCTTCCACTTGTTCATTTGCAAGAACAAATCATTTTTCAAGGGGAATGCCCAAATATTCTTTTCGATAAGCTTCTTCCACACGGTTGCTCGTGGTTATAGTATGGGTTCCCACAGACGGTGCCAATCTGTTGACCCCAAAAAAATGTTTCCAATAGATACCGGACTCACCCGCGCACTCGTAAGAAAAAAATCCAACACTCAAAGACACGTGGACGATCTAAAATGGACAGATCAAGGGTGTGGGAGTAGCTCAATGGCGCAGGACGAGAACGGTAGGAATCCGACGAGATGTTCGTATGCCGATTGTACAATAATTACCAATCGATATTTGTAAATGTGTATGTAAAAATGTGTAAACTCGTATTGTGTTGCAAGATAATAAGAAAGATTTGAATAAAGTGTTGTTTCTTGTATTGATTCTTGCATTAACCCTTTAATATTACACAAGGGAAGTATTTATAGTAGTACATGTGAAATGGAGGCATGTGGCCTCATCTCCTTAACTCAAATATCTAATCCTAAGCATCATTCTTAATTTGCTAGCTTGCTGCACATTTATTGCTATTGCAGAACCCCCATACTAGTGACAAGACTTAAATTTACACTTCTGACAAACGTCCCATCAATCATTCAAACAAGATCCTTATGTAGAAGATTTCTTGGGAGAAGTGATTATGGAAGATGCTCTTTTATGGTTCGGAAGCTTCTTGTTCAGCTTTAGGGCTTCGGCCACTCACATAATACTTCCGCTTTAGGGCTTCGACTACCTTCTCATAGTGTTTTCGCATCATCGCCTCGGCTACCTTCACAAGGGTCTCGGACGTACATACCACCTCGACTGGAGTACCACGTGGTTTGGCATGAGTGGGCCCACGTGGTTCAGCATGAGTGAGCCATTGGCCCCAATGGGTTGACCAAGTGTGTCAACACGTAACAATAACTGTTAACGGAATTGTGTATTTTTGTTTCTTAAATTGTCAAGAGAATAGAATTTAGAACTAACTTTTGATTTTAAGGTTTTACCAATTATTTTTTATTATTTTTTTATCATCATCTTCTTTTGGCTTTCACGAGATTATTAGAAGGGGGTGCATGTGTCCAATGATATAGAATCGAATAAGTTCAAATTGAATCAAAATGAACCAAATATGTGTAATTGAATTTTAGGCAAAAGAAAGAGATTAAAGATATCACTACTTTTGACAAATTAAACGAGATATAACTTTTTGTATTTTATGATTGTGGATATATTCAATAAAATAAATTATGCATCAATTTTTGCTTTATGATATTCACGTGTCTATACTTTACTTTTTAAATTTGACTTGACATATTTATATTCAAACGGATTAGAATTTTTTTATTGTATGTAAGAATCTTATAATGCATTTTGAAGTTGTCATTCACAATGAAGCAGAAAGGGTAAAAATTCAATTTTAGGATTTAAATATGTAAGTTGTTTGTAGAAGTGGTAGAATTTCATAATTATATGACATGCTTGCTTACTATCCATCAATTGAATCTTTGATAATTGGATTTTTTTAGTTCTTTATTCTCAAGTTAAGTTCTTTTTTGTGATTTCATTTCGTATTTGATTCCCCTTTTTCATTTTTGGTATGAAATCTAAAAATCAGGATTTCAAGCTTTCATTGAACAAATTACATACTCTTTAGGTTTATTTTCTTTTCTTCTATATACTTGTTGAAGAAAATTTATTTCTCTTTTTGCATTTGAATTTTGGAATTATTATGCCTCAAAATTATTATTGCTCTCCAAGTTTCATATTTATGTCCATATCAAGTCAAAAAAATTTTACGATAAATTGTTTCAGTTATGTAAGAATTAGGGTTAGACATGGTCCGATTCAAGAATCGATTTGAACTCAAATTTTCGGGTTAGCAAGTGAAATCGTCGGGTTCAAACTTAGTTATGAAACCATTCAGGTTCATTCCATTTGGTTTGGTTCAGTTCAATTCAGTTCTTGAGTTCCGTACGATAATTAATTTTTTATATTTACAACACAACATTAATTCAATTATGACATGTTCAATCTTAATCCATACAAATTAACATAGTCTAATCTTATTATAACTTATTGTGCTTCTCTTTGTTGAGTTTTTCATAGATTTGACTATTAAAATCACAATAATAGAAAGATAACGAGCCTATAATAATGAAGACATGCACAATCGAGCTTTCAATTCGATTTTTTCAAAACGGTAGAAACGATAGAAGAAGAGATTTGGGAAAAACTTAAGTCAATTAAATTAAGTTGGGCTTAGTTGAAAATTAGAATTGAGAAAATCATATGTTGGGTTTGGGCTAATTAGTTGCAAATTTATTTTTAAAAAATAATTTGACTTATTTAAGATTAAAAAATTAGTGAGATTCAATTTTTATTCAGTTCTTCAATTTTTGGTCTAGAACCGAAAACCAAATCAAATTCATCGATTATCGATTCAGATATTTGTTTGAGTATTTAACTTAAGAAGAATCGTTCGATTCAATTCAGGAGTTTTGTCCAGCCCTAGTAAGAATTATTGTTTGCATTTATTAAATTGTTTTGTTAAACAAATTTTGTTTTTTAATACACTATGGAAGGATGGGTTAAAGACCTATAGGTACGAAATCGATCCTAGAGACTGATAAGAGAATAACCAATTCGCTAAGCTTGAAATAAGAGGTTCCTGACTTTTGCACTCACTCTTACCATTGGTCGTTCACATCTTTATGTTTGCTGAGGACTTGTCATTGGATGTACAGTTTCTTATTTTGATTATTCATTCGGGATTGGATCTATATTCACCAATTTGGTGTATTTTTATGTATCTACTTGAAATATTATGTATTTTCAATAATTTGTATAGGTGTGAATATTTTTATATGATTTACATATTTATAGATTATGCCCTTGTTTGAGCCCTATTTTTCCCATCAAAATATATTTTTCAACAGTAATTTGATATTATTTCAACCACACTTTTTNGAGATTTAGATTATTTTAAAATTATGGTAAAACTATCTCATTACTCACAAATAGTTAAAGGTGGGAATATCTCAGCAAGTTAGAATATATCTCCTTCATTGCTATAGATTTTAACGCACATTAGAATGAGAATTCAAATTATATGTAGTGCCATAAATTTATTTATGTCGAAGTTTAGTCTAATAATTATTCCTTGTAAAGGATTTAGCAATTCAAGTTAATTCTCAATTCATTTACAAAGTCTAATAATTGTTTTTGTTAATTTATATTTGTTGCAAAGAGTTCATAATAATGAAGTCCATTTTTTGGCGCATCCCAATGATCACATTAACTCAATCAAATGATGATGGATATCTATTTAAATTCAAGAAGAAATAATTTTCAATACGTGTATGCTTCGCAATGATAGGCAACCATATTTTACAATTTCTCGCAGAGTTTCAATGCAAATAATAAAAGTAGAAAATAAAAGAAGAAAAGTTGTGGAACATTGACAAAAAAATATTTTATATATAAAAGTGGTATTATAATCAAAACATTACATTTAGTTTATTCAACATTTTCACATTATATACATAGTTTTATAAAAATGTTTTATTCATATATGTTCTTTTTAATAATTTTAATTTTTCATTTAACAATATCAATTACCTTAATTACTTTCAAACATAGTATTAGTAATTCAAAAAATTACATATATCACCAATTCGATACATAAGACATACAACACACATTCTTATTACTAGTAAATTTAAGAATGCATAGAATATACTAAAAACTACTTGAAAGAAAGTAAAAAAGTAATTTGATATTGAGAGGGTGTTTGGTTAGGATTAAAATTAGATTTTTTTTTAGTAAATTATTATAGGAGTTTTTAAATATCTAATTGAAAAGTTGTGGGACCCATGAAAGATGTAATTAATATTGATTGTTTGATTTTAACTTAAATTAAAATTTAATTTTAATTCAAACCAAACAGGCTCTGAATATGATGAATTCAAAACTTAAGCTAAAGTAATACTATGTAGCATCGCTAGTGTAGGTATCAATACATGTGACATTAAATGTCAATATATAGGGTAATACTAAGTAGACCAACTAGTCTTCTAGGGGGCCACACATGGTAGCTCCACATTTTAATATCAACTTCTAGGGGGCGCATTTCATAAGACTCTTTCAACTTTTATAAACATCAAACAACCCCACAAGTGCTACAAAAATTAATAATTAAGACATCTTTTCTAATTTCTTAATACCACCTCTTCTAGAAGTTGAAGCTGCAAAAATGAGATACAAGCTTATTCGTTCTATCTTTATAGCTCTCTGTGGCAAAACCAAATTCATTTTTCATCAAAAGCCTCGCACATGTACCAGTTCTATAAATGAATATATATGAACTAGTCGTATCAATCAAAAGCAATGATCAGAACTTTCCCTGTATTTTCTGAATGCAATACTCATGGGTACAGCCAAATTTCCCATTTTCTTTCAAATATAAGCATCAGTTGACAATATACATTGTCATTTCAAGAAGAGGGAAAAAAAACCAATAGAAGTTGAAAACATTTTACCACTCGCATTAAGGGTAACTAGCACGCTGCCACTATAACAGGGAGGAAGAGTTTGTATTCACAACTATGTGTTTGAGTGGGTTATCAACGTCGCTGCCTCCAGCATGCATGACAAACTCGGCTGGTGAGAGTAAGTTGCCGTGGCATATGCACATTATTCTTACTTCTTCTCGCTTTCCATATTTGTATAGTATCCCATCCACTCTCCTTCCATTAGGACCATCTCCCTTTGTGAAAACACAAGGCATATCCTCAACTGCATTGGTTCTAATTTCCCTTCCTCGATTTCTTACAACATCAGGTCGTGTCATTCTGCTCGTATTTTCTCTTTCTTTCGTCCCAGACGAGCTAACATCCTGATTGATTCTCTCACGCAAAGACTGGATACTGCCAGGGCTCAGTTCACAACCTCCACTGGATCCTGAAATGAAAATGAGGAAATCTCGGATATAATTACAACAGGTAATAGCAGCATGGTTTCATAATCAAATTTATACAGCAGTCCATAGAACTAGACAAATGCGCAAAATATCGATAATCTGCCATAAGTATTTGTTGACAAAAAAGTGAAGGCATGTAGATACTAAAGATACTCAGCCAAAATATGAAATACATTTTTCATGTTAGGAATTGCTATTTTTCTTATGAAATCGTCGAAATGGATAACATAAGGATCCAAGTTCCAAAAAATTTCACTGGACATAAAGAACGCTTTCTCACAATTCTGTTATTTATATGATCAAGTCTGCAAAACTCAATGCATTTCGAAGTTTTGGAGTGAAATTTTTAAAACCTCCCTATGTTCATTTATCGAGAATCTAGCAATGCATAATCCTTGTATCTTCATCTGATGTTTGAAAAAATATTGTGAATATGGTTTTATTTACTAAAAAAACTAAATAAAAGTTAAAACAACTCTCATGATGTTTGAAAAAATATTGTGAATATGTTAGCATGATTCTCCTTAAGACAAATTTGTCCAGCATTGGTGTTCACAAAGTTGAAGCAACTCTCATGATATAACATACTCCGTTTGTAATACCATTACTCCAAATTACAATAGTATCAAACTGAACAATGCCTTGCACTCTTTCTGAAATAATGGGACTCAAACACGAAGCAAAAAATGAAATATTGCCTAGAATTGAAAGCATAAAGGAGATGATTTAATAACGAACATTTAGGTTCCTTGTATAGTTTGTTAAAAGTGATCCACCTAGTCGACACGTCTATTCTATTCTGAAAGGCATATCTTTAGTCTTAAAAGGGCATGTCCCAAGAACATGTCTATTTATATATAATGACAAATTAACTAGATCATATATCGACATGGGGTGATAACCGGACAAAAATTCAAACCAAAATGTCCAAGTGCAAGATAAAATTGGAAGACCAACTGTTATTTTGGAATCTTTATGTACTTGGAGCACATTTAATCAATTAAAACAGTTTACATACATAAAGAAATTACATTTGAGAGTCTAACATTAGTTGAATGACTTTTCGATTTATATACAGCATTGGACATAAATTTCAGCCTATGTAGAAAATAACCAAGAAAGTATAGATAACGAAATACCTCCAAAAGTTTTACTGTCCGATTCAGACATACTCGAAGAACTCCCTCCTTTTGATTCCATTGACTTTTGCAACCCACTAAGATCTCCCAAATAATGCCCCTTCCCTTGTGCCATTGCCTCATCAATCCCTCCTCGAATGGACTGATGATCATTAGCGGTGGATAATGGGAATGGCAAACCTGACCTCTTCGCTGCGACCAAAGACTTATCACTATCCAATCTCTCTCTCAAATTAACCTGAATTTCCATTTTCTCCTCCAGACTTAAATTTCCACCACCACCACGACATCCACCAGCTTCCTTATCACCCCTTAGATTCCTCAGCTTCTCTGACCTTCTCCTTTTAGCCTCCATTCTCCTCAAGGTCTGCAACTGCTTCCTCTTCCTCCATTCCTCCTCCGTCTCCACAGGCAGTGAAGAGGTCCTCAATGGACCTGTATAAGCCACCGATGGTGGTGCCACCGCATCATTACCATCTCTCACCGCCGGTAAACACTCTGCTACAGAAGAAGACCTCACCAACTTCTTGTCCACACCAAATCTCCCTCCTAATGACAGTCCAAGATTCAACTCAATCTCCTGATCCTCCTCTTTCACTGCCTCATTTGCAGTACTACTACCCATGAACCTCTGCAACAAATCTCTTGAAAATCTATTTGTTGAAATATCTAAACAAAGAGTATCCATTTCTGTTGTTCTTAAAATCCTCTTACCATCATCACCATCCCCCATAAAACACACAAACAACACTACTTATAACAATACTATAATAAATTTATATGCATGTTTAACCACTCCATGATCTGATTCACACAAAACTGATCTTGACTGCATAATATTAAGCACCACCTTATTCCACGATCTAATTTTTATTCACAATCCAAGCAAGAATTTTGGCTTCATAGCAATAAACTTCAACTAATAAATCCATCTTGAGAAATAAATGAAATATATCATAAAACAATAGAGCAATAAGCTCCAAGACAAAGTCACAAGACCTATATTAATAAATCAAGAATGAAAATAAAGAAAACTAAAAACTGGATTGTATGTCGTAGTGAAACAGAAACTAATCAAATATTGAAGCAAAATGAAGAAGAACCTCAAAAAGAGAACAAACAAAGAAAGTGGGGGTGCGCGGTCAAGGCAGAAACTTGGGAAGGACAAGTGGCGGAAGAGGGAGAGGGGGAGAAGGGTGACACGTTGGTCTGAGTGAACGGCCCTTTTTGGTAGTGTAATAATGTTTGGGGAAAAAAGAGTTAAATGATTGGGGAAGTTAATGTAGAGTTGAATAGGAAAATACAGACCATGAAAAGTCTAAAAAAATATTAAGAAAATAGGAAATGATTCTTGTGATATATACAGATAGGGTATTTTAGGTCTCTTAAGTTAAAAAAAAATATATATATAATAAATTCTAATCCATAGCCCCTGTTTCACAGTCATTCTTTTTTTTTTTTTTTTGCGTTTCAATTTCATTCTTTTTTTTTTTTTTTTGCGTAGCATGAATTTTTACATAGCAAATTTTTTAAAAATGTATAGTTAAAAAGTATGGATAAATTTTGATTTATATTAAAAATATTTTATTGTGAGAACGTGAGATTAAAAATGAATATAAGAAAAAAATTTAAAAATTAATTATCAAATAAATTGTAATATTAATAAATTCATAATTTTGAAGATTATGCAAGACAATCATTTGCCTTGAAATGCATAGAGCATCAAGATATACTTGTATTATCGTAGATTACGTACAAATATATTTAGCCTCTATTTAATTGAGATTAAAATTAAATTTTTAATAAATTTTAATAAAAGTTAATAAAATATATGATTAAAAAAGTTATAAAATCCATAAAATATGTAATTAAAATTAATTATTAATTTTGACTTAGATTAAAATTTGAATTTTAATTCATGTAATTATAGTTAAATTAAAATTCTGTAAACAAATAATAAGGCGCTCGGGAAAAAAATGCACTATTGTTTTTGAACACCTTTAATATTAGTTGATTAATTTTTGTTACACGTGGAGCTTTGAGGTACTTTCAAGCATTCAAATGACAAACTTTATCAGATTCTCCAAACCTAACACGTAGCCACGTTTGTCTAAATGTAAGTTAGTATCGTTTGGCTCTCATTAATTTTTATCTTTCGTATTTTCAACCACACAATTTTCTAGGGGCCAAACGGGGGCTTAAAAATGACATATGTACGGTTCAATTGGGGGTGACCCGATCCGATCCAATCCGATCCCACCCTCACCCAACAATTCTTTGATTTGGAAATGAAATTGAGAAAGGAAATCCAAAATATACCTGAAAAGGGAAAAGCCAATAACAGTTTGAGATGATGTGTAGAGTTGGATTTGTCACTAATTATATTATATTGTGCAAGTTGAGCGAAATAGTTAATTTAGAGTCGAAAATAAGTCTCGAGTTTGAGTTGGGAGCTAAGTTTAAAGTTGAAAATATGTTGAGCTTATAAGAATAACGCAGAAATGTAAACACTGCAACTCTAATGAATATATATTTACAAGTTGTAAATTAGATTTTAGTAAAATTTGGTACCTGTGATCATTTAAAATTCAATTTTGACAAATATAAAATATTTGAAATTTTCTACTATTACCATTAGAAAAGAAAGTATTTCAATAAAAGTAAATTGTTGACAAAAATTCGTCGAAACTTAAATTCACCAAATTTTCTAAAAACTACCACTTTATACTTTTTTCACAGATGAGCACAAGAATCTAGAGAAAAAAGTGATCATCCAAGTTTCATTTTGATAAAAAAGAAAAGATTTTTAGTAAATTTTAATAAAATTAATAAAATTTGTGATTGAACTATCAATAAAAGTAGCGAGTCTCACAAAATATGATTGAATATATATTTGAGATAAAAATTAAAAAATAAATTTTAAGAGATGAGAGAACTTTAATTTTCGAGAGGTGGAAGTGGCACGGAGGGAGTGAATGCCGGGAAAGGGCTGATGCCACCTGGAAATGGAGCATATAAGAGAGCGTTTGGTTCGTCGTTTGAGGTCATTTTCAATTTTCAATTTTTTAAAACACTCAAAACATGTTTGGTATGTTATTTTTTATAAATGCATTTTTGAAAACAAGAAAAATTTTAGAACATAAAACTCAAAATGATGTTTCAATATTTTGAATATTTTAATTGAAAAAACTCAAAAAACTCGAAACAAGGAAAATGAACTTAAAAAAATTCTCAAATTATAATAATTAATTAAATCACACAAAATCTACTCAAATGCAATTACCCAACTCTCTCTCAATTTATTATCTAAGGATAATTTCGATACAAAGTTGGAAATATACTTACGAGGATCTTTTTTTTTTTTTTTAATCACACATTAGCATAAAATTGATATGTTTTACTAAGTAATCAAATTAATTGAAAAAAATATCATAAAATTGTTTCTAAAATTTTTAAACAAAATGCATTTTATAGTTTTTTGTTCCGAGAAACAGTTTTTTCAGAATAACAAACCAAATGCATTTTTAGCAATTTTAAAATAATCCATCAAAATAGAAAACAAAAAATAATTGAACACTGAAAGCAGAAAGCATAAACTCAAACCAAACGCACCCTAATTATTCTTTAAACAATTGTTTGTTTGTTTGTCAAAATTTTCACCTTTCTACTCTATAACTAAGGGTTAGGTTTAGGGTTTTTATAATTAATTAATGCTGTTTTCTAATAGGATAGGAGGGTTTTGAGATCAATGAATTTCCTTATCCTTCTGTTCATGAATTCCAAAGAAATTAAGAATGGAAGCATTTTGATTTTTTGAGTTCTTAAGGATAACAAAATGGATAAGTTTTTTTATTATTTTATTTTTATTTTATAGAAAAATAATATTTTGACATCACTACTTAGAAAACCCAACTTTCTCATTAAAGACTTGAGAGTTCAATGGTCCTGTTTTTCTTGGGGACAAGAAAGCAGGGTTTCGAGATCAATGAATCTTCTTAGAAATAATTAAAGAAAATAAAATAAAAAGAAGACAAAAAAATAATAATAATAAAAATAAAGGATGAGAAAACTGAAAAGAAATATTAAATTGGGAAAAGATGTATTTTCGAAACTCAAACGGGGCATAGGAGGAGGTAAAAAGTACAAATGGAAATATTTACTTCTTTTCTTTTAATTTTGTTTTCTTTTTCTATTCTTTTCTTTACTTATTTGTTTTAAATCAAAATAGGATACATTATTATTCAACTCAAAATTGATATTTTAACTGTTAAATTGGCGATTTCCATCACAAAATAACCTTAGACGCAGTCGTTTGTAAGGTTTGGAACTCGAGTTATAGAAATCAAAGGTGCAGGACCCAAGTGCAATTTATCCCAGACATTACTAACATGTAGGGCCAACTATAAGGTTAAAAATAATAGCCTTTTTAAAGCATATTTGTTTCTCTAAACATATTTTGATCGAGTAATTATCACGTCAAATAGAAACTACTTTATCAAATAATAATAATAATAATAAAATGTAATCATTCAACTATGGGTCTTTGGATCAGAATATTACATTGTAATCAGAATGGTGGAGATCGCTTATAGATAACTATACTAGTGTCATTTCTTAGATTTTACATTTAGTTTTTATGATTTTGATTAAAATTGTTAACAATAATATTATATTACACAACTTTTAATAAAATAGTTTGATGACGTAGAAAAGATAGAAAGAGAAAAATTGAGAAGTTCAAAAAAAAAAAAAAAAAAAAAAAAAAGAGAACTTTTAAAAAAAAAAAAAAAAAACAGTGACCTTTAGCAATTCTACTGTCATAGAGTTCTGAATTGTAACTATTGTTATTTTGTTGCATTTGTTTACAAGTAAATTAATTGGATATTTATCAATGGGGAGAGAGCTAAGAGGGGTAAACAATTTTTCTTCTACTGGCTTATACATAGAAACAAGGTATCGATATTTATGTCCACGGTTTTCATATATTCATTCTAGTAAAAATATTAAATTTTTAAAAAAATTACTATTATCATCCACGTCACATTTCAATATCGTTTTTATTAAATTTATTCATTTAAACATTATATATCAACACATATTCTATATGTTCATCACATTCGAAATACATCCCTAATACAATTTCAAAATTTTAAAAATTCGCTATATTCATTCCCTATACTGGATGACAGTTCCGAGGACATGAAAGTCATGAGGCCTGCAATTGCCAGTAGTCAGCCAAAAAGTGAAGCACTTTCCTCTCTCACAAAATTCTAGGGGTGGGACGATGGAGACCCTCAAAATTGGAGTTCAACTTTTTTAAAGCACTTTCTATTTACAGCAAAACTGATAAAAGGCCAAACACTGTAATCTACTTGACACAAAATTCAACTATTAATTTATAGCTTCCCCTCTCTCTACAAACAAACAGAAAAATCACACATTATTTCTCCTTTTCGAGAATCAAATCTTAATTCATAGGACCCATCGAACCAATGGGGACTAAAATTAAAATGGGCTGGTTGGTAGTGCTGGGCTAAAACATCAGAACTCCCAATTTTTCCATTTGGCCTTTTGCAAAATCTTCCATTTGAAGAGCCCTTGGAATTTGAAAAACCATTTTGTAAAAAATCCTTTAGCTTGCGTTTGAGCTGCTTGTGATTCGACCTTGCTTGATTCAGCTGCATGCGATTCAGCCTTGTTCCATTCTGTCGGGTCCGCTCCTGTTGCCAGTCCACCAGGTGGCCACCGCCAGACCAGTCCGTCCGAAGCCAAAGGTTGGTTTTGCTTCACTTTCTTTTTTATATTTATTTTGATTTGTGATTGGTGATGGATAAATTGTGAATTGTGAAATTTATTTTGGAAACTTCATCAAAAATTCAAAATAGGGACAGCATTATTATGAAATTGTGAAATCTTTATGCTTAATTTTGTAGCACTTTTACTGATAGAAGAATAATTTTTTTTCACTTGAATTGCTTGAGCTAAACTTTCCATAGACTCTTGTTTACCTCTTTCTGTTAGCTCCTCCAACTGGCTTTTTACCTGACTGTTGTGAATCTATTTGCTGAGGCAAATGGTTAACATGTTACGTTAATGCAGCAATTTCAGTGGACGCTTTGCACAACTTCAAATATGATTTCATCGACTCTCTTTTAGTGTTTTCTCCAATTCATCCTAGGCGTGACGTTTTGGGGCGCTAAATAAGCGGTCTA